TGGTTGTTCAAACATACATAGTGTTGAACCTCCGTTAGGCTGATCAACAATGTTTCAACTCATAAGGTGTGTAACAAAGCATTACAAGTGCATAAGGTATTATCTTAATTACCACTTGTTCAATAATTTACAATTTTTTATTTTAATATCAATAGAATAAAAGATTAACCAAAAACAAAGATAAAATTGGACAAGTATAAATCAAGGCTATGCACTGGTTACACAAAACATCATCATGAAATGAAATTCATACTTATATGTTTCATGTATCAGAATTGAGAACCATACTCTGATACCAATTAATAGAAAATTTTGCAGAACATAAATTAAAAATCATTAAGGATTCAATTCTATACATGAAAACTATATGGAATTTCTACTATAAAAATAAGTGTATACGTACCTTGATCCATAATAGTATGAAAATCTCTTTTGAGAAAGAGAAACCTTGATCTTCAAGTTCTTTATTTGTCTAAAATCTTCAAATCACTTCTCTCTCTCTAGGCGATAAGAGCCTTCTTGTGGTGACAACTTGAGTTTTGTGATAGAGAGTGTGGTTTGGGACCTTACACTATTTATACTAATATTCTTCCCATCAAAGAACCATTCATTCAATGAACTTCATTAAATAGATTAATGTATCTTATACATTCATGATACATAATGCATCTTTTATATTTAATGAATTCATTAGATAAGACTAATGTATCTTACATATTCATAATAGATACAATGTGCATCTCTAAGATTCATTCATAATGAATCCATCACATTCAATGTGCATCTCTAAGATTCATTCATAATGAATCCATCACATTCAATGTGCATCTCTAAGATTCATTCATAATGAATCCATCACATTCAATGTGCATCTCTAAGATTCATTCATAATGAATCCATCACATTCAATGTGCATCTCTAAGATTCATTCATAATGAATCCATCACATTCAATGTGCATCTCTAAGATTCATTCATAATGAATCCATCACATTCAATGTGCATCTCTAAGATTCATTCATAATGAATCCATCACATTCAATGTGCATCTCTAAGATTCATTCATAATGAATCCATCACATTCAATGTGCATCTCTAAGATTCATTCATAATGAATCCATCACATTCAATGTGCATCTCTAAGATTCATTCATAATGAATCCATCACATTCAATGTGCATCTCTAAGATTCATTCATAATGAATCCATCACATTCAATGTGCATCTCTAAGATTCATTCATAATGAATCCATCACATTCAATGTGCATCTCTAAGATTCATTCATAATGAATCCATCACATTCAATGTGCATCTCTAAGATTCATTCATAATGAATCCATCACATTCAATGTGCATCTCTAAGATTCATTCATAATGAATCCATCACATTCAATGTGCATCTCTAAGATTCATTCATAATGAATCCATCACATTCAATGTGCATCTCTAAGATTCATTCATAATGAATCCATCACATTCAATGTGCATCTCTAAGATTCATTCATAATGAATCCATCACATTCAATGTGCATCTCTAAGATTCATTCATAATGAATCCATCACATTCAATGTGCATCTCTAAGATTCATTCATAATGAATCCATCACATTCAATGTGCATCTCTAAGATTCATTCATAATGAATCCATCACATTCAATGTGCATCTCTAAGATTCATTCATAATGAATCCATCACATTCAATGTGCATCTCTAAGATTCATTCATAATGAATCCATCACATTCAATGTGCATCTCTAAGATTCATTCATAATGAATCCATCACATTCAATGTGCATCTCTAAGATTCATTCATAATGAATCCATCACATTCAATGTGCATCTCTAAGATTCATTCATAATGAATCCATCACATTCAATGTGCATCTCTAAGATTCATTCATAATGAATCCATCACATTCAATGTGCATCTCTAAGATTCATTCATAATGAATCCATCACATTCAATGTGCATCTCTAAGATTCATTCATAATGAATCCATCACATTCAATGTGCATCTCTAAGATTCATTCATAATGAATCCATCACATTCAATGTGCATCTCTAAGATTCATTCATAATGAATCCATCACATTCAATGTGCATCTCTAAGATTCATTCATAATGAATCCATCACATTCAATGTGCATCTCTAAGATTCATTCATAATGAATCCATCACATTCAATGTGCATCTCTAAGATTCATTCATAATGAATCCATCACATTCAATGTGCATCTCTAAGATTCATTCATAATGAATCCATCACATTCAATGTGCATCTCTAAGATTCATTCATAATGAATCCATCACATTCAATGTGCATCTCTAAGATTCATTCATAATGAATCCATCACATTCAATGTGCATCTCTAAGATTCATTCATAATGAATCCATCGTTGAGTTCGATTAAAATGACAACAAATTTGAAATTTTTGGCCGGCACTACAAATCTGAGACTAAAATTCAAGAGGTCTCAAGTTCGAGTCACTTCAAAAGGCTAATAGAAGTTTGTCCGATTGTTAACTTAGATTTGGAATTAATCGAAGTGCGCACAAATTAGTTCAGATACCGTGTTAGTGTATATGCTTTATGCTTTAAGTTAGTATACCTTTCGGCCACTTTCATAATTGTTGTCTATAATCTCTCCTATATATAGGAGTTGAATCATATATGTAAAAGAGATACATATTTCTCTCTTCTTCTCTATACATTATTCTAACACACCTAATTATCAAAAATAATAATAATAAAAATGAAAATGATGAAACGTGATTTTAAAAATAATGCTTTTGCATGGCATCGAAATTGTGAAAAATTGTTATTTATTTTTTTATACATCTCATATCTAGGTCCATGGTAAGTTAGGTACCATATTCAAAAAAATTGTATAAGTACAAGAGTTTTAGAGAGTGAAAATTTTCATTTCTAAAAATAAAATTTTTGTTGCAAAAAATATTATAAAATCAATTCCAATCATCACGCAAAGGCTATACAAAAAAGTCAAAAAAAAAATGGCCTTTAGCGATAAAATTTTAAAAATATTACTGATAAAAACACTATTAGAAAGAAAATAATTATTGCCAAATAATGCAAGGTCTACATATGTTTCAAACCCCTCATTAGTGTATGGTCCTTTAGGATAGTAAAACAAATGAAACTACTTGAACTCAATTTGTGTTTGGTTCATTATTTCAAATCAGCCTATTATTTAACAAGTCCAGCTTAAATAATTTCAAATAAAGTTTGAACAAGTAGGCTTATGCACTACAAAAAACCAAACTTATATCAATATCAGTGTTTTGCATTTGGTATGAGATCTTAATTTCACCATCTTTGTGTAGCAACCAAACAGGTCAAAATTAAAATAAAAACCAATGTTTTATTCTAGTAAAATTTGAATATAACATATGTATTTTTGGAATTTTCCGTACTAAAAATGACCGCTTAAATTCCTGTTTCCTCACTAATTCTGGTTCTCCTGATTGGACTGAGAAAAATGCTCTTTCTCTCTCTTCTCTTTCTTACCCCAAAAGTTCTCTGCAAATCTTAGGTTCCAAAATCTCCATTGCATTGCTCTTTCCTCAACCAAATCATCATCTGTTTATGGTTAGTTGCTTCTCTTTCTCTTACATTCTTTTTTTTCCAGGAAAAAAAGAATAAACAATGAGAAAATAGAAAGAAATAAAATCCTAATGAGTAAAACCAAGATTCATTTTCAGATTTTCCAAAAAAAAGAAACAAATTGTTTTTTACTTGGTTTTGGTTTTTTGTTTTGTGTTTTTTCTTGGTTCTTTTTTAATGAATTGTGATTTGGTTATGTTATGGGTAGGTTTGTGGAGGGTATAAAGAGAAGAAGCAATGGCCTACAAGGCGGATCATGAGTATGATTACCTATTCAAGATAGTCTTGACTGGGGACTCAGGTGTTGCAAAATCTAATATACTTTCCAGGTTTACGCGCAACGAGTTCTGCTTAGAGTTTAAATCTACCATTGGTGTTGAATTTGCCACAAGGACTCTTCAGGTTTATTTCAATTTCTGTGATCTACATTTTGCCAATTTGTCACAAGTTTTGTATATCAATGTACTATTTTGTTGACCACCGATCTAGTTCCAAATTTCTGTGATCTACAGTTTGCCAATATGTGAACCTTTGGGTCCACTTGGTTGCATGTGTTTACAAAGTTGTGTTATATTTCAGAATTTGAAATGAAAGGAAAAACATGTTTTTACAAAGTTGTGGATGTATGAATGCCATTTGATAGATAACATGTTTTTGCGTGAAAATATTCTATTGCCTCTGTTTTGTTTTGTTTATTTATTTATTTTTTATTTTTTCTTTTTTGGTTGGTAGAAGTATTGTTTTTATAGGACTGCGTGTTCCAATTGTTTCACCTTATTTTGGATTTCAATTGGATAGTTATTATATAAAGTTTATATCCAAATTGGCAAAAACTGTCACGTAACTACCTGTAATTTCATGCCTCAAATTCATATCAAAATTTAGAACTTCTTGCAACTTTAATAGCATACTCATCAGATGTGTACACGCCACTAGTACGTATTACTATATATATAGAGTTACTTCACCAAATAGATGACTCTATAGTTTACATAGACATGGCATGGCAGTTATAACATTGTCTATGTTACTTTTTTTACTTTGCTAACTAATTAATTCATGTTGACATAGTGCTTCTAGACTAACAAAAGTAACAAAAACTTAATGGATGGAGCAAACTTGACCTATCTATCTTGGTCGGCTGAGTTGGAGATAAGGCAGGTCCCATTCATCCCCTTTTGCTGGGCCTTATTGGGATCACCACATGTCATGTTGGTGTTCTATTATGTGGGTGTTTGGAAAGTGAATTTTTTTGTAGGTTTTTTTAGTTGTAGGATATTATTGGAGAAATTTTTTTTTGTGTTTGGGAAGATAGTTGGGTTTTTTTGTGGTTGGATGTAATGTTTGTGAGAGAAAAAGTGAAATGATTATGGGATTTGATGTGATATTTTGTTTGGATTTTTTTTTTTTTGGTTTTGTAAAATGTTTGTCTTGTAATGAAAAAAATCAAAAAAAAACCTAAAAACTAAGTTGCCAAACACCGCCTATGACTATTGTATTATCATTAGGTAACCTTGTTAAGGACACATATTTATACAAATGTAAAATTTAATCTTTTTAAGAAAGTAAGATAATTTTATAAAAGAGCAGAAAATATACATCAATACAATTGGCATCACTGAAAAAAACAAATAGCAACTAACAAATCCAAAACAACAGAAGACACATCACCCAGAGGCAGGCACAGAATCCACAACATGCAAATCCACTGTAGTTATCCTCACCATCCATTATTAGATTATCCAAAGAGTCAGAGACAAACACCATAAAATGCTCCCACAATTACAAAGATTATCTACAAAGATCAATAAAAAATTATCTACAAAGATTAAATTCGGCATTCGCCATTCATATTGCAACCATTTATTGAACTGACTACTTACATCTCTAAGAAGGCATAGCACAAATCTAACAGTCATTACAATCTGTTCTGAGATAGTCTTACCATCTCTGTAATCGTTTTGATACATTCTTGCATTCATTTCCTTCCACAGAGCATACACAATAGCAACAAGTAGGCAACGACATGAGATTTGATGTGTGCAAATGTAAGATTTAATGTGTGCATTGTATATATGTACACTAGATGATATTTCTTGCAAATTTAGCTTTAACTATTTTGGTTACAGGTAGAGGGCAAGACAGTGAAGGCCCAAATATGGGACACGGCAGGTCAAGAGAGGTATCAAGCCATCACAAGTGCATACTATAGAGGTGCAGTGGGAGCCCTCCTGGTCTATGACATAACCAAGAGGCAGACCTTCGAAAATGTCCAGAGGTGGCTCCGCGAACTGAGGGACCATGCTGATTCCAACATCGTCATCATGATGGCTGGAAACAAGTCTGACCTGAACCACCTCCGAGCAGTCTCAGACCAAGACGCCCAGCACCTGGCCGAGAAGGAAGGCCTTTCGTTCCTGGAGACCTCAGCCCTGGAGGCACTCAACATTGAGAAGGCGTTCCAAACAATCTTATTGGACATTTATCAGATAATCAGCAAGAAGGCACTGGCAGCTCAGGAGGCAGCCACTGGGCTTCCGGGTCAGGGCACAACCATTAATGTCGGAGACTATACGAGTAATTTGAGCAGGAGAACTTCTTGTCTAATTAACAAGATTAAGTCTACAAACACACAAACTGGTCACAAAACTGGACATAATGGTCGGCTTCTGTTTAATAGCAGGGAGGGGACATATGAGATTAAGTTTTTGTTCAATCATGACAGCTTATATGAGACAATGTGACTTGAATTTTTCTCTAGAGGTCATGTTAGACGACATCTAGTTCATGAACACCATTGTTGAGTTGCACGCATGACAATGCTAGCTATCCCCCTCCTTGGAACTTCCAAAAAAAAAGGATGGGCTGCAAAGTTGGTGTCCCGCATAGTTGTCAAATCGGAATTCGTATCATGAATCGAAATGGTCTTGTACCGAATCGCGAATCGAATCGAATCGTGAATCGTAAAGATTCGGTCACTTTTTCTAAATTACTTAAGAACATATATCTACACATTTAGATGTTAAATATATCTTATGAATATAAAATATTTAGACTTAAATCAATAAAAATGTTATTTTGAATAATGAATAATATCACTTAGTTTAATAGATAAAAAGTTAACAAAGGTTCCTATGTAAGATCACCATATTACCTTTTTTCTTTTTTAGATATTTTTTATCAACTATTTTTAATAAAGATGTAATATCACCATCTTGCCTTTTTTCTTTTTTAGATATTTCTTATCAGTCATTCTTAATAAAGATAGTAATCAAATAGATAAACTATCAATTTCCAGAGTAACAATAATTAACAACAATGTTGATATTTGGACAATAAGCATATATACTTTTCTAAGTAACAGTAAGCAAATAATAAGAAGGAATTATTTAGAATCTTTTATTTTAAAGCCTAAAACATTTTAAAAAGTATAACTGACTTCACACATGTAATATTCAATTTAATAAAATAGTAATAGATAATTCATAGTGTAACTTTAATCTTAAACATCTTTAGAAGATATATATGATTTTTTAAAAGGAAAAAAAAAATCAGAAGAAAGGTTAAAAATATGTTGGGTCTGATTGAATCTAATTGAATCCTATTAAAAACTCCATGATCACTAAAATAACAATAAATCATGTATATATTTGGTTATTTTGGTATTAAACGCTATTAAAAGCTGTATTATGTCATTTTCACTAAAAAGATGGAGAAAAAAAGAGTCGAAAATATGTCGTACACAATAATTTCAAAAATTGCATGAATCGTAAAAAGTGAATCGAATCGTGAATCGACTGTGAATCGTGCGATTCACTAGAGATTCACTTCCAAAATAGATTCACCAATAGATTCGTATCGATTTTACAAAAATTACGAATCGAATCGTGAATCAAATCGCGAATCGTAAGATTCTGATAACAGAGGTGTCCCGTCACAGACAAAGGGATAGACAACTGCTCAGTTCTTATTAGCATGCAATCTTTTGTTTGTTTGTTTTTTTTCTGTTTTTTGTTTTTGTTGCCTATTGGCATGGTTCACATCTAATGCATTCCATGATTGAAAAAAGATTATACCTATCGTACAATCCGCGAACTCCTTTCTATCACTTGTGCCAAAAAGGCCAATAGAAAAGCACCAGATTCTTAGGGCAATCAAAGTCAGCAATCAGGTTCAAGCCCCCGGATCCCTTGCGGAAAAATTAGATAAATAAAATTTAAAATGCTGAAAAACATGTTAACGTGTCCAAAGAATGTAATTGCTAACTAGAATGCAGACAACAAAGAACCACTTGCGTTTTATGGAATGAAGATATGCTTATCATTATTATTATGTTTCAAGTCATTTTTTCTTGTATCCTTAAAAGAACCCCACAATGAATCCTCGAAAGAACACCACAAAAACAAGGGGGAGCTAATCCAAGCTTTTTTGGATCAACTCAATCCTTCTGAGGAGCTAATTCAATGATCTCCAACAATAAAGACAAACCAACTTCCAACAGAGACGAGGCCATACCTATTGTAAATCAAATTACAGGGGAAAACTCCCAGTTAGGTGAATGTGGTCCAGAACACTGCGTAAACCATACTGATTCACAGCTGCATTTGCGGCCCTAAATCCTCCACCATAGGCCGGAGAAGCATCATGGGCAATCTGATGCATGAAAAACTCACCCAATTTATTCTCGACACCAGACTTTCCACCTTTCTTCGATGATGACATTGACGATGATGATGAAGCTGTTGATGTGGATGGCATATTTCTGAATCCTGGCATTACCTCTGACTCGAGCCACATGTAAGAAAGCACTTGACATATACCCTCCTCTACCTCCGGATTCAGATTACGGTAGCCTGCATAATTCAAGAATAAAAATAAATAAATAATAGATGTACGTCATCATGTGGTATGCATCGATCTTGGAAGAGTTATCTCCGGTTATTGTTCCTCTTGCCCAACATAAGATCATCTCCATTGGTATAGCATATTTTTGTGCCATTTTAGCACAACAAAAACAGACTTCATACAGATTCACTACAAGTTGCTCCACCGGTGTAGTATAAAATATGTGCTATTTTAACAGACCATATTCTACATTGTTGGAGTGTTTTACGTTGTGTTGTGCTTCTTTAGTACTGTTACACCTAAATACTACATCAATGAAGTTGCTCTAATGTTCTTGTCGTGCATCAACATGTCTTCTATGACCCTCAATCAAACAAAAAAGGAAAAGTAACAGAAGGAACTCATGTAGTACCTTTAAGGCGTAACCACCCACGCATTAACTCATGAGCAAGAATCGCACCTGTCAGTAATCTGTATAAAGCGAAGATGTGTCCATAAGAGTTCATAACATTAACCAAGGTTTGCCACTTACAAGAGTAAACAACAAAAACATCATATGGAAGTGTAGAAATGTAAAATGTCAAACAATTATAAAACAGAGAGACAGAGGGCGTGAAAAAGAGAGAGAGAGAGTGAAAAAATCACCAAATATTACCTTGGGAGACCATACAGAACAAGAATGGCTGTGACTTCACATTTTCGAGTCAGCTTTTGATGTTGTGTTCTCATTCCTACAAGTCGGTGGTTCCCTACTCTTGGCCTTTTAAGTATCTAGATTTTTTTTTTATAATCAAAATAGAGAGAGAGAGAGAGAGAGAGAGAGAGAGAGAGAAGCACCTATTAGGTACATAGTGTAACAGTGATAAATTTAAATTTAGTAAATAAAGAAAAATTCAATCATCTGGTTATCCAACATACACTGGTAACTGTCTGCTCTTCTGACAAACATAAACCCCTTGTTTCAGGCATGTGATGGAAACCCTGGAAAGAAAGTTATCTGCATTAGAAAAATTCTATAAATCAGGAACATAAAAAATGGAGAGAATTCATTTATTACATTTTTCTCGCCTACAATAGCTTCATTAAGGGCTTGTCTTTCGACCAGAAGCATCGGAATTTGCTGGTCTAGTTTCATGTTCATTCCTTCATAGTAGTCTCTAACGGCATGGTAGAGTGGTTGGCAATCACCAGTATCTATGATAGAAGATTCCATACACTCTAAACATAGACTCCGTCCATCTCCTAGAGATACGTATCTTACATTCCAAGACTTCAGAAGGGGAAGAAGTGGGGAACCAACATCAACAAGAAAAATAAAAATCATCATTTTGAAAAAAAATATAAAAATAACAAATGCTAGCATAGATCAGTACCTCCAAACGCTCACAACTGCAGCATCGGGCCGTGTTATCATACTCATGTGAAGGGCAATATTTCTGGGACCAAAATGGGTGGCACCTGTACTCTATCAAACCAGCTCCATTTGTTGGGATCTGAGAATATGTGAAAGTAAGATTATAAACATCAATATGAAGATTGCTAGCAGTTATGATCGACAGCAATACACAGTTGATAGTTCCAAGATAGATGGTCCAAACTAGATCGGTGTGATATGCATATTAACAATTTGTATATTCATTTTTTTCTTAATCTAATTAGTATAATAAGGAAAAGCCTTCATCTTTCTGCATATACAGGCTACAAAATATTACACTTTTAGCTTTATGCAATACATGAGGATTATAGCAACAACCATTTACAGGGTATCAATTCTAAGAATTCCAATATTTATTTTGAATTTTTAACATCAATATAAACACAAATTTGGCGGATTTTAGATGTAACAAACATATCTCGGTTTACAGAATAATGGAAATGCGAAGAAGAATGTGCGAGAATTTTGTAGGCATCCCAATATGTCTGAGATGCATAGACACTTCTACGGAAAAAAGTGTGTCTCGACACTGACACTCTTTGGACACTCCTAACAGCATGTCCGGCACTTCTTCTATGTGTCTTAATTAAAAAATCATATTCATAATATTGGACACTTTACCAACACTTCGGTGATACTTCTTAAACTCTTCGAATACATCCTATGCGATGAAACCCTTCACAACAACAATGATTTGCATTCTTCAAAACACAACTTATACATTCTAAATATGTTTTGAAACATTTATAAGATAAATACATTATATGTAATACAATGTTCAATAATTTCTTTGCATTCTATAAAATGTATTGTTACATGAATGATAACTCGATGTTTATTAACATATTTTCATTACCTTTAAATAAATTTTTCTTATATATGATATAAAATAAAATTTTAACGTGTCCCAAACATGTCATGTCCTGCATTTTTTAAAATCAATGCGTTAGCGAGTCTGTGTCATGTCATGTCATGTCGTGTGTCCGTGTTGGTGTTACTTAGATGCCCAACTCACTTGGGCAAACCAAGTTCACTGGAAAAGCACCAAGACGCTACTTATTCTAACCAAACCTACTACTGGATTTTCCATCAAGAACATACTTTTCTACCTAAACCTACCACTGAACCATCAGCTAATAAACAGCAGCACTCTTAAGTCAATTACAACTGAAAATCAGCTTTATAAGGAAAAAGCTACAAAAAAACAAAGAAAAAAAAAATAGTTGGTTCAAGACGAGAAGAAAAACAATTCGAGTGTTCCAAAGTAGTGTTTCCTTACAAATTGATGACAAACTTCACATTTGGGATGGGTTAGCTCTTTGTAGCAGGACTTATGGTATGCATGCCTCCCTGATGAAGAAAACTTGAATCAACAGAAAAAAACCAATAAGCCTAGAGACAAACAAAGATCAAAGAGAATTACTTGTCCAAATATTGCTTTAAAATAAGAGAAATGGGATAATCTTTTATTTTTATTATTTTAATAGAAATAGGATAATCTTCTATTTTTATTATTTTCTGTGTGTATGTGCTAAGGGTGGGGGGTTGTGAATACTTAGGGACCAAAAAAACAAGCTACCTCATGCTCGGTGATTGGGAAACCACAAGAACGACAACGGAAGCATTCTGGATGAAAAAAAGCACCCATGCATCCCAAATAGTTTCCACAGCCAATGTCACGGTTGCATCCACCGCATACTCTGCAAGTTATAGTTGTGTGCATACACTATCAATCATTTTCATGGTTCAGAAACTTGTGACTTCAAATTATGATTTGATTCCATAATTGTTCTAATTAATAAAACTGGATAGGGAAATGCCTAGAGCTACCATCACAGTCTACATCTTCCTTGTCTATAATTCTTGACAGATAGTCAAATAAAGTTTTGACCTATGAAGCACGGACACGGACACGGGCACCGACACCGACACGGATACGGACACGGGACACGAGACACGGAAATTGCCAAAAAATGGGGACACGGACACGGACACGGCGGAAGACACGGCGAATTTTTTTATTTTTTTTTTATATATATTTTTATGTGTTATGTAGATTCGTATTACATTCATTCTAAATCAAAATTAACAAATACTAACATAGTACCATTAATTCAATAAATATAAGAGGCAAAAGATTCAACATCCAATCTTGTGTAATTCAATGAAATTAACAAACACTAACCCGACAAAAGTTACATTGAAAAGTATAATTCCCCCCTCTTGCATCAGATTTTTCTAATCTAGTCACATATTTCCACAGTAGCTTATCATCTTCAGCATCAAAGGTAGATTGTGTGTTATTGGCAGAATTTGAACTAGACATTTTTCCTATAAATTAACATTAACATTAGAATTTTTAAAAATTACTTAAAATATTAAAAAAAATTCAGTGAAAATAAAAAATATGGAAAACGAAGAAGAAAAATATTTATGATTAATAAAAAATAAAAAAATTATAATTTTATATTAAGGCCAAGTTTGGCATATTGCAAAAAAGTTAAAAAGTCCAAAAATTACTCAAGAAGTTAAAAAGTTAACACTATTAACTAAAAGTCAACAATTACGGCTGCACAACTCCTAATTCTAATTTTTTCCTACAAATCAATTTTTACAATTTTTTATTACACATTTTTTTATAAAAAGTCAAAAAGTTAACCTAAACATCCATATTTTCAACCTAAATTTTTTAGTCCAAAAAGACAAAAAGTGCACTTATTTAGAACACCCCAAACAACCCCTCAGTCTCAGTCGAAACCAGAGCAAAGAGAGAGAGAGCGAAAGAGAAAGAGAGACAGAGGTGAAAGAGAAAGAGACGACAGAGGCTTACCTTCGAAGACGACTAGATCGGAGGTCGAAGACGACTGGATCGGAGGTCTTCGATGGACTTCGGAGGGCTTCGATGGACTTCGGAGGGCTGCGACTGAGAGAAAGAGGTTCGATCGACTTGAGAGGGCTTCGACTGAGAGAGACAAGGTCTTCGCAGGTCTGATTTTACTCCTTTACTCCCTCAGTTGTTCGATTAGGGCTTCGAACGTTGTTGTTGTTTTTTTTTTTTTTAACTTTTTAAATATTATACTTTGACCCCAAATAAATATAAAAAATTCAAAAAACAACCCCGCCGTGTCCCATGGCGTGTCCAGATATGGACATGCATGTCCCCGCCGTGTCCCCTTCCAAAAAGATCATTAAATTAAAGGGACACGCCACCGTACGTGTCCCTGTGTCCCCGACGTGTCCGCGTGTCGGACACTGCCACGGCACCAATTTTGAAGTGTCCATGCCTCATAGGTTTTGACTGCATGGCGAAAAATTTCATTGGCCAGAGTAACAAGAAGAGGCCAAGCAATCAGCTTCTTCTTAGCCATACATTGAATTAAAATGCTTATACAATATAATTGGTGTAATAACTATTACAAGGAATTGTGTGCATTCTCATGTTCTCTTTTCTATGTATCACATTCTAACTGTTCATACTAGGGCAAAAAGGCTCAGAAATACAATACTGAGAAGTGTTTGACTTGGATCAAAACAGCAAAAATTTTCCCATTCATTTGTGCCTCTGGGCAGGCAACCATTTATGGGAATGAATTACCAGGAAATGAAAGCGGCTAAACTTGGCAGATAGCAATCAATCACAAAGTTTCCAAGTATGCTACCAAGTTGTTGGATTAATATGTTTTATGATTAACATAACAACTCATATATATAATGGTGTTTTTTTTCAACTGAGCAAAACATGTTTAGACCCATTACCACAAACTAGTACCTATAGTCTCTGGGATAATAGTCAGTAGGGGCATAGGGAGGATATGAAGATGAATTGGGGACATCCTGAAGTGCCCTTAGATCTTCATCATTCTCTGTTTGCCATCTGTATCCTGAAAATCCAGACATTCATATATAGAACAGAACCTTATTAGAGAGAGAGAGAATTTAAACTGGATTATTGTAACAGTACAATAATTTTACTGTCTTATACAACATGCCTACCAGGTGGTCTCTTCAAATCTTCAGCCAAAGAAAGTGCAAGTGCACGGTCTAATTCCTCTCTCTCCTTGTCAGCTCTAGAGTGCTCACCCTGATGAGATTTGGCAGACTTGTATAAGAACATCTTCTATTATTCAATAAACAACATTTAGGAATTCAATCATGCAGCTCATGATAATAATGACAGCTGTGCTAGTAACATTGAAGATTTTTATGGAATGGTACATAGATATCAAAGAAAGAGTCGGTCCCACATGCATGTGTGGGACCCACCCTTTGTCTCACATCTATATCTCATTTTCTGAAAATCATCTATGCTCTTAGATTTACTCTAATAATAAATATACAATTGAAGATCATTAATTTAACATGTGGGAGAGACTACCAAAAGCAACTTTTCTCCGTTACCATGGCCCATAATTGAAGCATTATTATCTGAAACGGTATCACTTCTAATAAAAACCAACTAAACATCAGTGTAACTTACAAAATCAAAGCACTTCACAATTTCAGACAAGTCCGAGGGTTGCCAACCGCTCAGCAGATATCAAAGTTGCGTGTAGCTTTGGAAGCTCCCAATAATGTAAAAAGGACTATCTCTTCTCTTTCAGATTTTCTTTTTTTTATTTTATTCATATTGATATATATTTTATTTAATGAATGTACTGTTCTTCTGTCAAGTTAACAGAACCTAAACAATCACAACAATTTCGTAGATTTCCTAGTTATCAACTAATATCATCATAATATGAATGCAATCATAGAGACAATGTCCTATTACCACGGATCTTGCTGGAGCCTGCCAAACCATGTTTTCCTCCCCGATATATTGTGGGTTACGCCTGCCCATACCACCACGATCCGAGCCACTCTTAAAAAGCTTGCTCAACCATTTCATAAACCGAGACTTCCTCTCTCCATACGAAGAAACAAAGTGTCCTGTTTAAACCTCAACCCATAACTACAATCAATTAATACATTCCATAAACATATGCATAACATAACAGAACCCCCAAAAAAAAATATTATAAATAGAATACAAAATTCATTGAAGCATTTTTCAAACATGTAATACACTATCACAAAACATAAAGAAAACAATAATGCTTGAGACCACTAAAAGTGTTACTCTGAAAGCACTACCAGTGATGTGGCAATGGACGGTGTCCACTGCTTGTGTCTTGTTTTTTTTTTTTGTTTCTTTTTTTATTTAAAATGCTTGACAACTCATAGTGGTGCTTTAGAGTACCACTTTTAGTGAGATGTATCATTACCGAAAAGAAAAATAGAAGGGACTGTACCATAGATAAAGGACTGAGAGAGGTGATTAATGGGCGAAGAAGACGACATGGGTATTGAAGTGTATGTATAGGTTTGCCTGAATTTCTAGGAAGCGAAAAGGGAGGTGGAAAACGAAAAGGATGGGGAGAGAAATAGAGAGAAGAAAAGGAAAGGGTATGGAGCACAAAAGGAATAAAACGGAAGGTGGTGAAGGAGAACAATGGCATCCTTAAAAGCTAGTTTTGGGAAAGAAAGAAAGAAGAAAAGAAAGAGAATCTCTGATGGAGAAAGGAAAGAGAAGGGTTTTAGAGAGAGAGATAGAGAGAGAGGGGGAGGGTTTTGGAAAAGAGATAAGAAAGAAGAGAAAGTGGAAGAGATTGGGAAAAGATGAGAATCTGCTGAGGCGGAAGAAGATGAAAAAGTGACCGTTGGACGGCTGAGAAGTGGAGAGAGATAAAACTGATTTTTGAATAATCTTTGCCGGGTAAAGGTAGTTATGGTTGACATTTACCCTCATATTCCTCTCAATTTACAGAATTACCACCTAACAAATGACAACTACAGCAGAAATTATCATGTGGGTTAGGAATATTAACCCATTTAAGTATTCATTTTTGTTATGAGTGCTGTTAGTAACTCATTAATTATTTTAAATATTTTATTTTTTAGTTTTTTATTATAATAATAATTTCAAATGAAATTATTAAAAGTGACATTAATAATTTTGGGACACCCTATCTCACAATTAAGTTACACACCCACTACACATCATGAGTTAATATTTTTGAGAGCATCTACCTCTATCACCACCGATCCATCGATTTCAAATCCTACTTTCAAAACCTACTCACTCTTAAAACCTTGATAACCCTTTAGCGACAATATTCTGGAGGCAACGGTGGCAATCATTTGATTACATACACTTCTCCGGCAACGACAATAAGTAGAAATTTTTCTAGCAGCCACAACTCTTCAAGAAAAAAAAATGACAAAAATAATAAAAATTGTTCGTCATTTTTTAGGACTGAACTCCCAAACATATGATCGAAATTAGGGAACATAGGCCCAAACGGTATTTATTTGTTCAGGAATAGATAACTGAAGTAGCAACAGAAGCAGGCAAACAAATGAAGTCGGATGGTCGATCGGTCGGTTGACCGGGGAGTCGACCGGTGGGTGAAATCTTGCCCACACAGAGAGCATACAAGTACTATGAGGCCATGGATGAATGACAGAAAACCAATCGGAGAAGTATAAAAGTGGATTGTATTGTGTGTATGAAAAAATGTAAGAGAAAAAAAATTAAACAGATAGATAAACCTCGTAATGAAGTAGAGAAAAAACTTCTTACTTACCACAAATTTTTTTCACTAGTTTTGGGAGATTCCACCATTATGAGTTTTGTTAGGATTTTGGGGGAAAGGCTTTTTGGGGTGTAGGGGGTATGGGGGTGTGTATTTGAATGGGCGGAACGTTTTTATAAGGATAATTTTGGTATTATTTGGAATGAGAATAAAAATTTTAAGAGTTTTACAATTTATAAGTGGGGCTCCAAAGAAATAAGGGGTCCAAAATAATTGATGAAGTACTAATAGCAGCACTCTTTTATTATTCTAATATGTTTAAATGCAAATAATAATAATAATAATGAATTAGGTATTTTGTTTTATTTATTGAGATAAAAATATAAAATTAGAAAAATTTTGATTTTGATGATTTTTTTTTTTTTTTGCTTTTAACTCTATATTGTATTTTATTCTTCAAAAAATAATTAGTAGAGAAAAGAAAAAAAGTTTATTAGTTGGTCCAGGGGCGCCACGTGACGAAACTTCTCACTAATTACAAACTATTAAGCACCGTCATATTTCACAATCGCCCAACTCAAAATTAAAAATTTTATCTTTTTTACCAATCACAATACTGTTGAGGCACACCTGACGGTGCCTTAAAACTAACCAACAACTTCTCGAAAAGAAGAGAGATCTTTTTACCTATTTTTGAGTAGAATTTGTAGAATATGATTGTGAAGTGTGTAGTAGTTGTGAAAAATGGAAAAAATCATCCAATCTTCTCATAGGAAGACGAAAATTGATTTTCCTTTAAATTGTTTTTGAGGCCAAACATGACTAGACTTTTTTTTTTTTTAAATCAGAAAATAAAAGTGAAAATAAAAAATCACTTATTTTGAAATAATTCACTCTCTCTAACATCTCCCTTCTTCTTCAGATAATCCATTTTTCTCTAGCAATTCACTTAATATTTATTTTTATTTTTATCTATTTCAAAAATATTGTGGGGCTGTTTATTATAGATTCTATGAGGTGATTCTAATTTATTTTAATTTGAGAGTTTATATCAGACTGTTTAATTCAGCTTTCGCTTAGCTTATTAGGTAAAAATAGCTTAAATAATCTTTAAAAAAAAAATTGATTATTTAATAGTTGAGAAAGAATGTTTTTAGTCTCTACTTTCTGATTATTAAATTTTAACTTTAAAAAAATCTACCAACCAAGGCTAGTGTATATCAAACATGTTTTTTATTTATTTATTTTTTCATCAAAAAAAAAAATCAAAAACATATTTTTCTTACTTTCTTCTTTTCCAATTAAGTTTTGTGCAAATCTAGTGGATAATCTTATCAAAATTATAGAATATATAATATATTTTGAGGGACATTTAGACAAGGTAGAACCAAGTTGCTATTATTAAGGTGTACCAGTCAATAAGGTGGGCTAGTGTTTAAACTTTAAACTCAAAAAGAATCAGGAACCTCCTGTTTGTTCATTTACTAGCTTTTAGCACAAGCCATTCTCATATATTTAAAGAATATTTTTAGGTGCCATAAAAATATTTGTAAATTGTGTAATTTAAAATTTATATGTTGTGTTATTAATGTATTTGAATTTTAGGTAAAATTTTGATAATTTTTCTAGATATATAATAACTATGAACTTAAAATAGAAGCAACAAACTTTTTAGGTATTTGTGAGTCCAGTCACTTGATCAGAATCGGTGAATTACAAAAAATATAAAAGAATGAATATACAAAAAAAAATGTAAATCACAAGTATATGGTTTGCTGCAAAACAAAACAAGGCAGTTGAGAAAAAAATAAAATAAAAGAAAGCAACAAATCACAAATATAAAAATACTAAAATACTCTTATTTCAAATATTTATCAGAATCTGCATAGTAATTGTTAGTGTGGAGGCATGCTACAGATATACAATTTAGAATTCACAATTTACCAACAATGACATAACAAGCCAGGTGAGTTTAATATCATTTAATTTGTAACAAATCGAGACATTTAATCTGTCATATCAGAATGGATAAATTAAGAAAAAAAAATAGCAATCTCATTTTATTTATTTTTTTCTATGGCTAAGCTTCTCTCAAATTTAAATCTAAACTTCAAAGAATTTGAGAGATCCGTGAGGCCCATCATAAGTCCCGTTTCAATGATCCGAACTATTCATTTTATAGAATCCTTAAAGTATATCATGATTGTTAGGTTTTTTGTAATTGGCAATCCTGTTGGACAAAATTTCATTCAGTTGTATTTTTTTATTCGCTCTATTATATGTGTGAGTAATGAGAGTTTAGATGCGAATTCAACCCAAATTGTGCCTGTGTAAAGGAGTATGTGCTGACATTCCGATCTTGACTTCAACATTCCGTATTTGCCATTTCGCTGACTAAGTACGGGAATCGAACTGAGAAAAAATCAAAGTTGTTTGACCGCTTGAATGGTCTTTTATGCACTTAAGCGGTAAAGTGGTTCATCCAGTATCTTTGCATGTGTTCTAAACTTCTGAGAAATATGTTTTACCGATTGACCAATGGATGTTGCGCTCGAGCAGTTGGCCTATATGTGAGCACCGCCTTTTAGTCACACCACTCAAGTGATAAAGTGAGCGCTCGAGTGATTTTCATAGCTCTGTTTAGTATAAAGTGCGCTGTTTGTGATTTTTAAGGTTGAACCCGTCTAGATTCTCAGAGATAAGTAAAATACAAAGTGTTCTATGTTGGAAGGTGTTTATATATGAGTTTCCTTGATGTATAAAAGATAATCGATTGATCAACAAACTACATATTGACAAATATCAAGGGTTATTTTTGTTTTTTTCATTCAGAAAAAGAGAATGGTGTTCATCGATGAATTCCGAGGAACTTGGGTCTAAAGCTTTGGTAGATTCCGGAGTAGTTCATTATCATGGATTCGACATCGGCGTTGTGAATTTAATGTTGGGCAAAGCAATTCCGAGGTGAAGAGTGGTAGAAGAGGCACATCGGGTTCAGTTCAATGCAGGCGTAGATTCGCTAGGTAATTGAGAGTTCTCATATGTAATTCCTTTTTGTCTTCTTAGTAGATTGTTTTGTGATTTTTACGCATGGTTTTTTTTATCGCAATTGGACAAGTCTAATTGTGATTTTTTTCACGTTACATTGTTGTGCCGATTTATTATTGATTGTTTGATTAGATTATTCATTATTTAAAATTGAATCATAATCACAAGTCAATATCTCGGGGGTTTTCGAAATTTTTAATGATTGTCCATAAAAAAAAAAAAAATTTAAAAAGTAGATTCATTCAATAATTTTAACATTTTCATTTTATTAAGTTTATCTCCCAATAAAATGGTTGACAAATATGTTTTTTAAAATATGTCATTATTTTTTTTTTGAGACAAATACAATAAAAAGAAAATGTTATAATTATATTAACATAATTTTTTCTATGATATACACAAATATTTTACAAAATAAATAGTTCAAAATATCAAAATAGGATACGTAATAATTTTTATTTTATTCATTTATATATATATTTTTAGAGAGACACTTAGGCTGTGTTTGGTTAGATGTTCAAACTATGATTTCGTGGTTTGGTTTCAGTACGGTGTTTGTTTAGAGTTTTTAAAAGTTAATTCCACCAATTTTAGAAAATTCTTTCCAATGTGGGAAAATTTGGGCTAATCAGTCATCCTTCCGGACATCCGGCCGGTTGACCGGTACAGTGTAAATTGTTTTTTTTTTTTAATACAATTGGCACCTATTATTTTTTATATTTTAAATTAAAAAAATTTTGAAATTTTAAAAAAAAAAATTATGAGCTTTGAATAAAATTTTGAATTGTGTGTTTGGTTATGAATTGTAAGTTTTTATATCAAATATCATATGTCATATAAACAATTCCTCATTCAATTCAAAACTCATTTTCCAAACAAATTTTTTACACTCAAATTATAATTCTATAACTCATAAATTTAAAATATAATTCTATTCTCAAATCACATTTAAAAAATCCT